TTCTCTAGGGCCCATGCCCCACTGGCCATGTGATAGATACAGCTTTAATTTGACTTGACACTACCATGCTGCTCTTCAAAGTGGCTGTTAGAATTTACGTTTACGTCAACAGTGTACAAGAGTACCATTTTCATGTTTCTCCATTTTAGATGTTGTCAAAATTTATCAGAAAGAGAAAAAGATGTTATTTCTTTTTAATTTGTTTTTTTCTGTTAGAGCATTTAGATCAAGAGACAGTTGTATGAACAGAACAAGGGGATAGTGTGTGGTTTAAGGTCAGGAAAGGTGTGTGTTAGGGTTGTATCCTTTCTCCATACTTATTCAATCTGTATGCTGAGAAAATAATCTGAGAAGCTGGACTATATGAAGAAGAACAGGCATCAGGATTGGAGGAAGACTCATTAACAATCTGCGTTATGCAGATGGCACAACCTTGCTTGCTTAAAGTAAAGAGTACTTGAAGCACTTACTGATGAAGATCAAAACCACAGCCTTCAGTATGGATTACGCCTCAACATAAAGAAAACAGAAATCTTCACAACTGGATCAATAAGCAACATCATGATAAACGGAGAAAAGATTGAAGTTGTCAAGGATTTCATTTTACTTGGATTGACAATCAACACCCATGGAAGCAGCAGTCAGGAAATCCAAAGACATATCGCACTGGGCAAATCTGCTGCAAAAGACCTCTTTAAAGTGTCAAAAAACAAAGATGTCACCTTGAAGACTAAGGTGTACTTGACGTAAGCCATGGTGTTTTCAGTCACCTCATGTGCGTGTGAAAGCTGGATAATGCATAAGGAAGACCAAAGAAGAATTGACGTCTTTGAATTGTGGTGTTGGAGAAGAATATTGAATATACCCTGGACTGCCAAAAGAATGAACAAATCTGTCTTGGAAAGAAGTACAACCAGAACACTCCTTAGAAGCAAGGATGGCAAGACTTCGTCTCACATACTTTGGGGATGTTATGAGGAAGGATGAGTTTCTGGAGAAGGACATCATGCTTGGTAGAGGGTCAGTGAAAAAGAGGAAAATCCTCAATGAGAAGGATTGACACAGTGACTGCAACAATGGACTTTAGCATAGCAATGATGGTGAGGATGGCACAAGGCCAAGCAGTGTTTCGTTCTGTTGTACATGGAGTTGCTATGAGTCGGAACCGACTTGACGGCACCTAACAACAACAGAGCATTTAAGCATCTTTGTAAATGCTCACTTGACCGCTCACTCAGGTATTCTCATCTTGAGCTGTCTGTTCATATTCTTTTCTTATTTTATTGTTGAGTTGTTTTTGTCTTTTTCTTACTCTTTGAAAGATTATATATATATATATATTTTTTTTTTCTTTTTTAAGATATGGACTCTTTATTATACACTTCGCTGATATTGTATCCCATTGTGCTTCATTTTACTCACTTTCACTGGATTTATTCTTTTACATTGTTTCTGCAGCATTTTTATATGTCAGACCCCTCTACTGAGTCTTGGTAAGATTAGGTAGTCACTGGACATCTTTACTTTGATGTCCCATTATCATCACCAAATCAATTTTTAAAAATAGAGCATACTGTTTGCTTCCTCATTCTGCCTTCTTGTTCATGTTCTCAGTCTCCATGACACCATTGTTCACTTAGACACTGAAGCTAGACACCTGAGGGTCATCCTTGAATCTCTTTTCTTTAGCTTTCTATTGCAGTTCATTACCAAGTCCTGCCAATTTTACTGCCTGAAGTTTTTTTTATTTTATTATTACTGTTTTTTTATCTGTCTTTCTGTAGTAGTCTGAAGAAATGCTACTAAGGGAAGTAATAGGTTCTGAGGATGTTGTATAAATGGAATAGACTAGCTGAGGACTAAACCTTGGTCATCATCCACAGGAATATATGGAGAGAGAGAATTTCAGAAAGCCTCATCAGATGTGTAATTTAATAGCTTATTAATTTTTTCACCTTTTATTATTTTTTTGTGGGAGATAAGAGTCATAGCAAAGAAGAGATTAGTGCCTGATGTCTGTGCCATAAATTGAGGCAATTATTAAGAATCAGTGTTGTATAATGATCAAGAGGTATGGTTCTGGAATCATATAGACCATGTTCAAATCACTTCCTATTATGTATGTATGTATGTAGATATGTATTATGTACATAGATATGTATGTATGTATAAATGAATTACTTTCAAATAAGTAAATATTTATCAAAAAGCTAAGTGAAATATATCCTGAAAAAAATTTAGTTCTCATTGTAAAAAATTTGATGTATTAAAATATTCAATTCAAGTCAGTTTTTCGTTAGGACTTGTTTATAGAGCAGCCACTCAGAGTCTCATTTGTGGAAAACTTTCTACTTGCTAATTCACTTAATTCCCTGTGAAAGTTCAGACTCTGGGTGGGAAGGAAGAGGAGAGGTGAGTTGCAACTGAGCTTTTCACAGGTTGTGTGTGTGTGTGTGATGGAGATGGTGCATGGCCATTTAATTTTACTTCAGCTCCCCATGTGTGTAGTTAGCTCAGGTATCCTTAACTGCGCAGACTTCCTGAAGTCACTCAGCAAAATGAAACAACATACAGACATGCCTGCAGGCACATTCATAATGAGCATGCAGTAATAAAATGGTGGAGTTGGTTGTCTATGTATTTCACCTAGTTTTTCATCCCGTGTTTGAGCTCTAGTCAGGTTTTTAATTCTCTGAAATTTGAGAGCATGAGTCCTACAGTATAGTCCTTTCTACTGAATTTAATTACCATAACATTTCTGAATAACTACTGTCTTAGTCATCTAGTGCTGCTATAACAGAAATACCACAAGTGGATGGTTTTAACGAAGAGAAGTTTACTTCCTCACAGTTAAAGTAGGCTAAAAGTCCAAATTCAGGGCATCAACTCCAGGGGAAGGCTTTTTCTCTCTGTCGGCCTTCTTCTCTTTGGTGTTCCCCCGGACTAGGAGCTTCTCTGCGCCGGGACCCAGGTCCAAAGGACGTGCTCTGCTTCTGGCACTGCTTTCTTGATGGTATGTGGTCCCCCTGTCTCACTGCTCACTTCTGTTTTTATATCTCAAGAGATTGCCTCAGGACAAAATCCAGTCTTGTAGATCAGGTCCTGCCTTAGTAACACAACTGCCACCCATCCTCCCTCATTAACATCATAGAGGCAGGTTTACAACATATAGGAAAATCACACAGTACCAGGAATCATGGCCCAGCCAAACTGATATACACATTTTTTGGGGGACATAATTCAAACCATGACAACTACGTAGCAGAGTTGTTAGTCTGTTTAATGGCATAGTTGTTTTCTTAACTGCTTAAATTAGTAACCCAGTTGCTATAGAGTCACTTCTGACTCATACGATCTTATGTGTGTCAGGTAGAACTGTACTCCAGAGGGTTTTCAGTTTTTCAGAAGCCTCTTTTCTAAGGCACCTCTGGGTTGACTTGAACCTCCACTCTTTTAGTTAGCAGCCCAGTATGTTAACTGTTTGCATCACCTAGAGACTCTGCTTAAGTGGGATAAAATAAAGGGTATATTAAAATAATCTTTGGGTTTTAGTTTTTGGGTATATTAAAATAATCTTTGGGTTTTAGTTTTTGGCATGTTTTCTGAGAGGCAGAGTATTTTAGCTTGAATCCTATAACACCACTCAAGCAGGGTTTTTTTTTTTTTAATTGTAAAAATATATGTCTCAAGCAGTTTTTACTGCTCATAATTTAACCTATTATAGATGCATTAAGGACTATGGGATCCATTTCCCTTATGACTTCATTAGTTGGTAAGGAGTATTTTGACCTTTTCTTTCTTTGGAATTGACTTTATAGTTTGAATCTGTCTGGCAGTTATGTTATATAGGATATTCTTTGTCCTTAAATAGCTTTCTTTAGAAGGTTGCAAGTGTTCCACTGGATGAAACAGATGAATATATTTATTTTATAACTTCATGAAAAACAGTCACAGCACGTGCAGTTGATGTTCAGATTTTAAAGGGACCTAATAGTCACCTAACAAATAAGAAGAGACAGTTTTAAAAATTACATCCCCCCACCCCCCGCCAAAAAAAACAAACTAACCTTTTACTTTGACTACAGAAAGAGAAACAAAACAGACCTCTTTCTTTATCATTATCAGGTATTATTTAATCTGTGCAATCTCATTTTTTAACTAAGGAAACTGACCTGGAGGAGTTTCAGTATCTTACCCAAAGTCATACAGCCCATTAGTAGTCCTGAATGGACCTTCTATCTTTTCTCTAACCATAATAACGTAAAGTCCAGTTAATTAATAATGTAAATTTTATTTAAAAATTTGAATTTCTATAAAAACTAACTTTGGTACAAGTGCTCTGAAAAATGTGTAACTCTTGCTTTTCTTGTTTTATTCTTGTGAAATACAGTCCTTATGTCCATCAGAGAATTAAAGTGTTGAACATTTTGAACTTCCTTCAGATATTAGCCAGCTGGCATGTTTTCCTAGCAGAACATTTTCTGATTTGACCACAGACTCTCAATCAGTTGTTACTGGTTTGAATAACAGAATATGCTGTCATGGTGTGCACCTGATCATGAAAATTGATGTCTGGAGTGCATTTTTATTTGGATTTAAAATGTTTTTACAGTCCAAGAATAAACATTGTTTATCTAGTCAAAACCTTTTCTCACAAGATCAAAAGCTTGTAGAGTTTTACTTTAACTAGTTATAGTCAAACAGTGTGAGGATAAATTGTACATTTACATTAGGCAAAATCTTAATTTATTTTTAACCTGAAGGATGTTATACTAAAAATAGTTCTAAGAATTTTTTTTTTTAACCCTTCTGAAGCTTCGGTTGCCTGTTGCCTTTAATTAACATCTAAACAGATAACATATTCCTCTATAATTATAATATGGAAAGTCTATGAACAAAATAGATAAATCTTTTGGCAAATGCCTAGGAAAGAGCGGTGGCAGTCAAGTTCATCAAAGGTTTTAAGCAGCAGCAGCAGCAGCAGTGTGGCCAGGGCATGTTCAGTGTTTGGGGACGGAGGTGAATATCCGCAGTCCGTGCATTTCTTTGATTTCTTCTTTGAGTGCCTGGTTAACCATCTGGTGCTGCTGGACAGTTCTCTTCTCCTTAAAGTCTTCTGATTCGATTTGGATTTCATACATCGCCCCACAGCCTCCGAAAGTAAACACGATTTGGAAGCATTTCGATTAAGTTACGCCACAGTCCCACATGTCCTTGAAGTACCTGAAATGTCAGTGACTTTGACAGCTGTTGCGCGAGGAAACTTTTCTTTGAGAGTTTGGGTCACTTTGAGCTCCCCCTCAGTCTGGGAGGCAAACATCCGATGTACATGGTGGAGAAGAGGAAGCCGGCTGACGCGGCCCGCCAACTGAGGTCACCGTGTCGCCCGAAAGGCTTGGAGACAGGGACAGAGAGCCGCAGGCGCTGGCGAGGTCGCCACCTGTTCTAAGAATTTTTGAGATAAAACTATTTAGTTTTGAAACTGTAAATAACTGGACCTATTTAAATACCATTTGGAAACTTTATGGTGTGAGATCTTTGTGGGATTGGGAAGTAAAGTATACAATTTCTGATGCAATGTTGGGAAATTACAAATTTGTCTTACATTTGGGTTATGGATCCAAGATTTGAGAGTTGCTGATTTTGTTTTGATTGTTCATTAACTAATTTCATGAATTATAATTAATCTTCATAATTATGATGGAAGTTTCCTTCCCTAAAGATAATGAGGATATTTTCTTATTTGCCTCCATATGGATGAGTAAAGAGCTAATTAAGGCAGTTAAGATACCTTGTCTTAAATTTGGATAGTCAGTAAAAATTATGGCTGTTATGAAAGATATAAAGGTATAGATTTGGAAGAGTTAAATGTATAGAAGATACTATATTATTTTACTCTCTTTGATTTCTTTTTATTATTGTTCATTGGGTAAAGATGGATGTTACGATTTAGTTCTAGTGAATTATAGTATAACACATTGCCAGCAAGTCAATTCTAACTCCTAGCGACCCTGTAGGACAGAGTAGAACTGCCCCATAGGGTTTCCAAGGCTGGAATCTTTAGGAAAGCAGACTGCCACATCTTTCTCCCATAGAGCAGCTGGCGAGTTGGAACTGCTGACCTTTTGGTTAGCAGCCAAGTAATTAACTACTACACCACCAGCGCTTCTGAATATAGTATAGTTCTACTTAAATATCCACCCACCCATCTTTAAATGCAACTGATGAGAAGATCTTGGTGTTAGTAGAAGCTAACCCATTGCCCTTGAGTGGATTCCGACTCATAGCAACCCTCTAGGACAGAGTAGAGCTGCCCCATAGAGTTTCCAAGGCAGTAATCTTTATGGAAGCAGACTGCTGCATCTTTCTCCTGCAAAGCAGCTGGTGGGTTTGAACCTCCAGTCTTTCAGTTAGCAGCCAAGCGCTTAGCCACTGAGCCACCAGGGCTCCTTAAAGGAACTGAACTGTAGAGGAGAGCAGCATATTACATTTCACAAAACCACATATGGATACTTAAAAATATTTGTTACACTTCATTGGAAAGGAGTAGCTAGAATTTTTTATTGAATTAAGGCTGGCATTTTTTGGAGGACACCATTATTAATATATGAGATATTAATGTGGGGGCAGAATGTAATCAATACAAGAGCCTTCAACATTTTCATCGAGAGAATTTATCATGTGGTTATTGAAGAAGAGACCTTAAAGAAAACTTTCTAGTTAGATAAAATATTGACATGCAGGAATGTTGGTAACATTAGTGAGTCTCGAAGCAATTATATGTCACTGCAGCCAGATGACAATTTCTTTTATTTCTCCTGGGAAAAAATAGCAAGCTAGTCAAGAAACAGGGAAAAATCAAAATTAAAAAAGAAGAATAATTTTGCCTGATTAGTAACATCTGATAACTTGTAGAAAGAAACCTGACTATGACTTTTTAATACTTGTTTGTTACAGTTTAGTATGTTCATGAACAGGGAAGAATCAAAATTATTCTCCGGCCCACAGTTTTAGCACTGGTATTTTGCTTTCCCTGGAACAGTAATGAAATGAAATATAATTTTCAAAAATTAATCTGTAGGATCGTGTTTTAAGACTTTCACTTGGAGTAGTGTGGAGTGGGGGAATTCATTATGGCATTGACAGTTTTAAATAAGATACTAAAAATACATTATCCAAAAGAACTAAAAGGAGCTAACCACTAAGAGGGTCAAATATTTCCCTAATCAATAGTACTTAAGTATTGCTTTACTCTTTGCCCCCACCTTTGGGTAGAAAAAATTTAGTGAACTTCAGGAAATAATAAGACAGTGATTATATATTTGGCAATTTGTCGTGTGAAACTTGCCTTGTTGTTGTTGTGTGACATCGAGTTGATTCTGACTCATTGCAATCCTATATGACAGAGTAGAATTGCCCCATAGAATTGCTAGGCTCTAATCTTTTATGGGAGCAGGTTGCCAAATCTTTTCTCCCATGGAACGGCTGTTGGGTTCGGTTTGGTTGGCAGCTGAGTGCTTAACCATTGTGCCACCAGGGCTCCTCAAAATTGACTTAGTTGTTCATATTTTAAAAATCATCAAAATCTTTTCTTTTATATCTGATCTCTAAAATTATTCCCTAGCTCACCTCGTGTGCTCTCTTCAAACCCACAAGAATTCATTGCCAATTTTACTATAACAGAACTCAATTTGTACTTTCCATCTCAATTATAAATTAAATATTTGGCACACAACTTTATCTTTTTATTTTTGTCATCTCTTTCAGCACAGTGGAGAATTTTCAGTCTCTCTCAGTGATCTATTATTGACCTGGAAATACTTACTACATGAGAAACTGAACTTACCCGTTGAAAATATGGAAATGATTGACCATTATGAGGACATTAGGAAGACTTACGATGATTTCTTGAAGAATAGTAATATGTTAGATCTGATTGATGTTTATCAAAAATGTAGGATTTTGACTTCTAACTGTGAAAAGAATGACAAGATATCCCCTGTAAGTATTTCTTAACAATTCTATTTGAATCAGATTAAATTCTGCTGGATTTATTTTTATTGTAAACTGTAGTATCACCAGTTACAGTAACTTGATTATCCTTTTGCCTTTGGGGTCATGTTAAGAGTGGAAAATTTAGTACCTGAAAGAAATATTTTCATGGTAAATTTTGTTGGACTTGTGTTATTGTTATTTGGTTGAAATTTAAGAATAGCTTTTTATTAGATGAAAAATTTTTAACAAAAAATCAGTCGCAGATGCCTGATTTCTTTTTGAGTTATGGCAGTTCTTTCTTGGTTTAGTATACATCTGTTCATTTGGTATTTGTTGTATGACTTTCTGTAGTTTAATAATATGCATTATTATTTTACTGAGATGGGGCTATTGCTTATTTAATGAGAACAGTACTATACAATGTACATAAGATAATAGACTTCATTGGACTGTTTCTTCTTTTTGACATACATTTTCATTGTCTTAATTTTTTATGGGGTGTAAATTTAAAAATTCAAGTGGAGTAGCATCCTTTGCAGTTTGGTTTTGTCTGCGTTACAGTAAATAAAGTGTTTTAGAATACATTTGGACATATCTAGATTTTGCTTAAAGTGTTGAAAATATTTTTCTTTATCTTAACATTTACTGAGTGCTAGTAAGTACTATAGTGATAGTAACTAAATAATTGCAGCTGAAATTAGAAGGCAGTGTTTATTGTATCTTCTAAGGTATTCAAATATTTTATCTTATACCTAAGACTCGGGAAGAGTGTTTTGGCTGCTTATAATAGAAACGTCTACAATAACAGTGGTTTAAAGACAGCGAAAGTTTATCTCTCTGTTTTGTAAAAGATATCTAAAGGCAAGAAACACAGGACTAAAATGATAGCTCAGTGGTTATCAGAGACCCAGGCTTTTTATGTCATTCTGCTCTACCATCTTAGTTCTTAGTCTCCATCCTGAAGATTATCTTATGGTCCAAGATGGCTGTTGGAGTTCCAGTCATTAGATTGACATTCTTTACAGCAGGAAGTAGTTAGGGAGAATAGCACTCCCTTTCTTTTTAAGGATATATAGCTTTTTTTGTTTCTATTTCATTGCCCAAAGCAATGGCCACACCAAACTGTTAGGGAAGGTGGAGAGTATAGTCTTTATTCTGGATAGAAACATGCCAGGAAAAAATAAAAAAGGAAGAAGGGGAGGATGGATATTGGCAGGCAGCTTTCTATCTCTGCCTCACTGGGTCAGAATGGAGACTTTGCCCTGTAATAATTTTCTCAAAGCACACATGTGTATGCCCACACATTTGGTAAAGATATTTGTGAGCTAAAACACTTTTTATTATTCTTCCGTAGCTATATTTCATTTGCTTACTTGTGTCACATAGTTAATTTAAAGAGGATAATCAAACTTAAGTATTGGATTGCAGAAACAACAAAGAAAATCTTCTGATAAACCAGTGAGAGTATAACTAACCTACATGAGGTATTTGGTGCACAATGTTTTCATCCTATCCTTTGCCCTCAACTAAGTCTCCTTGTTTAAGTGGATCAGCTTATAGTATGAGCTGTACAAGGGTATACATAATGCAAAATAGATAGTTTCATTGGTAGTATTATTTGAGATAATTCTATGTGGCAGGCTGTCTCCAAATGTCAACATGGCTACTTTTGCAGAACATCAGGAATGAAATTGAAGTGCCTAAGATGCTAGTGTATGAAGTAAAATGTGTTCTGCATTGAAACCCTGGAAACTAATAACTTGATCTCTGATACTTATGTTTCCTCTCAGGAAATTTCCAGTGAGAAGAAAGCTGGCAGGAAAACACATCCCTAGATTTCTTTCTCAAAAACGTACTAAGTATGACCCTAACTTTTGCTAAAAGTGTCTTTAAACATATATATATCAGAAAATTCTGCACACTTCTGAATTTCATGATCCTAAATTTTCATGAACTTGTTAAAGTTGTTTTTTTGTCTCAGTCGTTGTAGCCTAAGTAAGGCAGGGATTATGAGGAATTAAGATAAAATTAAGATGGGAATTCTGGGAACATGGTAACTTGAACACTGCCCTCTTGTCTTTACTCCCTACTTTATAATTCCTCTCCTGAGGAACATGGGTGCTGGGTCCATGGGCATCTGGGAGCAAATAAGACCTTGAATTCTCACTGGAGTCTAAGTAGAGAATTGGTACAGGGCTTACTTTCTCATGAATTGAGTGAGTATATGGAGGAAAGCATCAGAAACATGGGGCGAGGAGTGGAAATGGTAGGTCCTGAGAAGAGTTTAGCAGCTCTCAGAGATCTGTGACCTCTGGGGAAAGTCACCAAATGCTTTCTGTGAGTGTGCCAGGATTCCCAGAAGTAGCTGAATGGATTCACTTACTTCTTCCTATTGGTGAGGCATGGGACACTACGAGAAGACTTTTTTTTGTTGATGTAAGCAGGTGACTGCTGTCAGTCCATTTGTTTCTATACTGCTGGTCCACAGATGTGGAGATCATTTCAACTTCCATTACTTGTAGGACTGTCATTACTTAAGGTACCTCAGTAGTTAGAGCTGACCTCCAAAGAGCCAGTGAAGGAAAACAATATACCATCTAAGGGGTTCCAGCAGCTAGAGGAAGATGAGTCAACCAACAACACACAAGTCCAACAAAATAGATCTGCTAGAGGGGCATGACAACAAGTTGGATTTAAAAAAAAAGAATACTTAACGAAAATTCAAGGACAATGCCTAAACAAGGCTTTCTAGATATGTAAAAAGAAGAAAGGAAAATATTTCCCAATGCAACAGATCAGTAGATGAATTCAGGCCCAAATTAACCAGAAAATCCAAACTCATTGCCATCAAGTTGATTCTGACTCATAGCAACCCTATAGGACAGAGTAGAACTGCCCCATAGGGTTTCCAAGGCTGTAAGTCTTTATGGAAGCAGACTTCCACATCTTTCTCCTGTAGAGTGGCTGGTGGGGTTCAAACTGCTGACTTTTTTGGTTAGCAGGTGAGTGCTTAGCCACTGAGCCATGAAGCCTTCTTTAGACCCAAATTTGTATCTCGAATATCAAGCACAATAAATATATAAAGCACAGAAAATAAAAATAAAAATAAAGAAATCATGAGGGAGAAGTTAAGAAACTTGGAAGTTAAATCTAGAAGCTTAATATGCAAATGATAGTCTCAGAAGGAGAAAAAGAACAGATGGAGGTCATAATTAAGCAAGTAATAAAATAATATTTCCTTTTGCTGAAAAGAAGCCTGAGTTTGCTGATTGAGAGTGTTTACCAAGTTTCAGGCTCTGTATTGATAGGAAATACCTAGGCATATCCTAGGCATATCCTGGAAAAATTTTTAAACTCTTAAGGATAAAGACAAACATTATAAGTTTCCCTGCAGAAACAACAAGTTGTTTAAAAAGGAACAAAAAATTAAATAACATGCCCAGACTCCTGAAAAAAGAAGACAGTGACCTAAGAATCTTATCCCCAACTAAATGTCGTTTATCAGTTAAGTCAAAGGAAGAAGTCAGGATATGCAGAATTTGAGAGTGTCATCCCCATAACCTGTGTAAGGAAAATACTTTTAAAAAGACCCTAATAATTAAACAACAGATGAATTGTAACAGATGTCTATATAGGGGAAGATGTAATGAGCAATGAAACTTGGAATATGTGTTTGCATGTGTAGTTAAAATGTTAAGGATAGACTGGGAATAATGTAGGTGCTAAAATGGAAAGCTTATACTAAGGGAGATTTCTGATATTAGTTTAGAATTAAAACTGCTAAACATTGTAGTTTGTTGGGGGGAGTAGCAGCCATTATCATTTTTAAATAATATGTATTTTTAAAATGTAGGTCTGATTTGAGTATAGGAAAAGGGAAGGTAACCATTAGTGGATGGAAAAAGTATGGTAGATATTCCAAGTAAATAAGAGGATAAAAAACAGAATGAGCAGTGTGTAATAAAGAATTTGCCTGACTTTGTCCCTGGTTCCTGGAGAGAGCTTTTAAACACTTCCAATTTCTTGTGTGATTGAGTGTCTCTTATTCATCATGAGCTCCTCAGATCACACCTGATGGTTTATTCTGTGAGGTGATTCATGGTAGGCCACTTGATATTTTATGCTAATGAGATGACTCAGGTTAGGAGCTAGACATGCCAGAAAGACTAACCATGTGATTAGATAGTTGGAGCTTTTAGCCAGGTAATGTCAGCCCGACCTCTAGGGAGAGGAGGAGAGGGGAACTCAGGAGAGACTTCAGTCTCATGGCCAATAATTCAATCAGTCATGCCTGCATAATGATGCCTTAATGAAAACTCTGGACACCAAGGCTCAGGTTGTGCTTCCCTAGTTAACAACATTCTGCATATTGCCACACATTGATGTTCTGGGAGGTTGGCGCATCCCTGAGGACAATGGGAACTTCATGCTTGGGACCCTCCTAGACACTTTAACCTGTGCATCTCCCTTTCACTGGTTCTAATTTGTATCTTTTTGCTATAATAAAACTGAATCATAGTATAACACTTTGCTTCCTTCTATGAGTCATTCTAGCACATTATGGAGTCTGAGCCTGTGGCTGGTTTCAGAAGTGAGGGCAGTCTTGTGGAGGACTGTGTCCTTAACCTGTGAAGTTTGGCCTAACTCTGAGTATTTAATGTCAGAAGTCATTTGCAAGTAGCAATTTACCAAATCAGTAAGGTACAAATCAGTAAAATTAATAGTGTATCACTTCAGATATATTGGGATTTTTATGCTTACCTCAGAAAGCTTTACATTCTATTTTCTAGAGTTCTGGTTGTCAAATATTTTGGTCTTAGGACCGCTTTTCACTCCTAAAAGTGATTTAGCATCATAAAGAGATTTTGTTTATATAGGTTATATTTATCATACTAAAAATGAAAATTGAGAAATGTTCGAAATATTTATCAATTTATTAAAAATATTGATAATAAACATTAACATTTTAATGTAAATAACAGTTATGAAAAACAACTATATTTTCTAAAAGTAAACGTTTTGAGAAGAGTTACATTGTTTTACATTTTTACAAATATCTTTAATGTCATATAATAGAAAATAGCTGGATTTTCATGTTTGCATCTGTTTGATACGTCATTTTGATTGAAGTATATCAAGTAAATTTGGCTTCACATCTATGTGTAGTTGAAAGGGGGAAGACCTCACGGATCCCCTGAAGGGTTCTTGGGGACCTCAGGAGTTTTGGGACCATATTTTGAGACCCACTGATCTAGAAAATCAACTCTAAATATAATTAAATATGAAAATAGTTTTAACCATAGGTAATATTCTCACATTTTTTAAAAAAACGTTTTGTTTATGGAAAATATATTTTTCCTTTCAGCATTTCTTCTGAAAACATCAACCTCAAGTGTGAGAACTACCATATTTTTATGCAAATTACTACGCATTATACATTTTTTGCCAACTGTGCAACTCCCTCAAGTATTATTTTCCTAGGTGTGCAATGTGTGGGTGCATTATTTATACGGGTGCATTATTTGCAAAAAAATACGATATCTCTATTAAAAATTTACGTAGTAAATTCTTTTTTCAGTGAACTCTATAATTTTGAGATTGGAAGCAATTATGTATATTATGAACAACAAAATTCTAGGTTTTCTAATTTTTTTTCTTTTTCTCTGACGGTTAATTCTTCGTGAGTACCAGCTCACCATATCAGTAGAATTGTGGCAAATCGTATTATTCTTTAAGTAATATTTATTGGTGAGTTATTTTAGTTATAGCTTTGCAATAGCTGAGAGTAAAATTGGTTTGAGATCTCGTTGTTAGGTGCCGTCGAGTTGAGTTTGACTCATAGAGACCCTATGTGACAGAGCAGAACTGCCCCATAGAATTTTCTAGGCTGTAATTTTTATGTGTGCAGATCTTCAAGTGTTTCTCTCTTGGAGCTTCTGGGTTAGCAGCCAAGTGCTTAGCTGTTGCCCTACCAGGGCCCTTTCAAAATTTCACTGGGCTTTGTTAACTTAGTTTGTACCTTTCTTCCAGATTAACTCATCAGGAATAATGTGTGTGTGTGTGTGTGTGTGTGTGCACATGAGTGTATATATGATACTAGCTCCCTTAGAGTAAATGGAATAATACAGAAATATTGAATAGTGGGGCAGAGTGAAAGTAAATATATTTTTATAAATTATCTTTTCATGGAAACTTTGCTATTTTGTTTGAAATATTGTGTTGCTTAGAAAGCCAAGTTTACGTATATACATTCCAAAGTGAAACATTTATTGTGGATTATCTGAAGACTTAGAGTGTTTTTACCATCACTTCTTCACTAGTTCACACACTTTAAGTATCTATGTTTTCTTAAAATCACTTAATCTAGTCAGATTCAAGTTATTAATATATAAGAGATGATAAAATTTTTACCTGAGTCATTGTGGGACCTTAGGTTAGACTTTTCTTTGTCTTTCTTTTTTTCTTCCCTAAAACAAAAGGGTCAGACTGAATTTCCAAGGTCTTCTTTTAACTCAAAACTTGTAAAATTCTATGAGTACAGGTGCCATTGGAAACAGGTTGAAGTGTTTCATTATGAAGTTTAATTCCATGTATACTTATTGACTGCCATGCACATGTCAGATAATGAATGTGCTGTGTACTGGAACATCACTGGCATTAAGTGGAGCTAGATGTGAAATATTTTTCATAGTTGGTATAGCAATTTACTAGTAATACTCTTCATTTCCTACAGAGTCAACTGCGGGATTTTCTATCTGGCAGACAGTATGCAGTAGATGATGAAGCCAACCTCTGTGTGCCGACATCACCAACAAGTAAACACAACCAGGATAATGAAAAGGTACTGATAAACTGTGAGTAAATTAAAGCAGTGTATGATCTCCTTCAAATCATGATATAAATTTGATGGTACATTAGAGCTACTACTGATGGTTTTTTTTTTACATTTTTAATTTATTTAAATAAAAATATATTTGCAAAGAGTTAATACATTGGAGACTGGTGAGAAAGTAATAATAATCAGGTTCTTCATGGTTTTGGGCCATGGTAACAGGCACTGAGTTGAGGAAGGTATCACTCTTAAGTACTAGAAAAGTAGTTGAAGGTCCAGGTTGCAAAGTTATTTGAATCTTTGTATTTGGTAAATTTCACCGTTAGTTGTTTTAGATGCTTGGTTCTTAGAAGAATATATACAACCGAAAAACCTTTTCTGTGCTTTTTGATGCGGTAGTATGACCAACTGTCAAGAGTTCTGATAACAGAGTTTGTTGTGTAAACAATCCATAGAAAGTAGTGCCAAAGAGAGGTTTCGTCTAATACAATTTACCTGCAGCTGAACACTATGCTAGCTACCTGATTAATTACAGTAACTACTCACTAACTTTGAGTTAAGTTTAGGAAAGTTTCCATGTTTAATAAAACCACCGTTGGCAAGATTGAAGTTTAAGAGTACTGGAAAGAGCAGTAAGATTACATTCAACATATTTAAAAAACATGGTATGTAAAAGGTCTAGAATGTGCCTTCTTCCAAAACCAGCTGCTTCAGTAAGCAACCCATTTGGCCAGTCACCTTCAGTTTTCAGGAAACATTGCTGAGACAGATTTTCCTGTAAATCTCATGTTGTACAGATTGCATTTTTAAAAATACATTTTATCACTGCCCTCAAATAATCACCTGTATACTTACTTCCTGGATTTAATAATTGGCTTCGTATCTGCATCTAATATTTTTTGTTTTATTTGAAAGTAAGTTGCTGACTTCCGGGCACTTTTCTAAAAGTTTTCAGCATACATTTTTTGAAAATAAGGTTAAAACTGCAGTATTATCATACATAAGAGCACTTAAGCAAGCATTCCTTAATATCATTTACCATCTTTCATATACATATTGCTTCACTTGTTCCCAAATGGTTTTTGTGTCTCTTTAGATTCTTTAATCTAGAAGAATTCCCCTCAATCTTTTTCTTTCATTCTTTTTGTCTGTTTGATTCCTAGTGGTATCATTTAACTTGTTCCTCTATTTCCTGTATATCTAGTAAACTGAAAATTATGTCTAAAAGCTTGCTTAGATTGAGGTTAACACTTCATAAAAAGTAACTTTGTAAGAATTTTATGGTTTTAGTTTTCACATTTAGATCTTTTGATCCATTTTGAATTTGTTTTTGTGTATGGTATGAGGCATATATCCTGTTTCATATTCTGCATGTGGAAATCCAGTTTTCCCAACTCCATTTATTGAAGAGACTCTTCTTTACCCCATTGAGTGGACTTAGCACCCTTGTCAAAAATCAGTGGACCGTAGATGTGTGGATTTATTTCTGGGCTCTCAGTTCTATTCCATTGGTCTTTGTGTTTATTGTTATACCAGAACCAGTATACTGTTTTGATTGCTGTAGCTGTATAATATGTTTTAAAATCAGGAAGTGTGAGTCCTCTTACATTGTTCTCTCAACACTGCTTTAGCTATTCTGGGCCTCTTGCCATGCAGGGTCAAGGCTGTTGGGCCTAGCTTTCAACAATGTATTATCTAGTATGATAACAAAAGCACAAACAGCGAAAGAAAAAATAAATAAATGGGATCTCATAAAAATTAAAAACATTTGTTCATCAAAATACTTTACCAAAAAAGTGAAAAGACAAGCTACCAACTGGGAGAATACTGGGTAAATAGTCATGAAGTGGGTAAAGGACTTGAATAAACATTTCACCAGAGAGGACATTCAGATGGCCACCAAATACATGAAAAGATGCTCAGCGTCATTAGATGCAAATCAAAACCACAATGAAATATGATTTCACTCCCACTAGGATGGCTAAGATAAAAAAATCCCCCAAAATAACGAATGTTAGTGAGAATGTAGGGAAATCAGAACCCTTATCCGTTGCTGGTAGGTATGCAAAATGGTATAGCTGTTGTGAAAAACAGTGTGTTGTTTCCTCAGAAAACTAAAAATAGAGCTAATGTATCCATACCATTGCCTTCAGGTTGATTCCAACTCATAGTGACCCTATAGGACAGAGTAGAACTGCCCCATAGGGTTTCCAGGGAGTGGCTGGTGGATACGAACTGCTGACCTTTTGGTTAGCAGCCTGAGCTCTTAACCACTGTGCCATGAAAGCTCCAGAACTATCATATGACCCAGCGATTCCACTCCTAGGCATATATCCAAAAATCTTGAAAGCAGAGACTCAAACAGATAGTTGTATACCAGTGTTCATTGCAGCACTATTCACAATACCAAAAAGTGGAAACAACCTAAATGTCCATCAGCCAATGAATGGATAAACAAAATGTGGTTCATACATATAATGGAATAGTACCCAGCCAGTGAGAGAAATGAAGTCTTGATACATGCTGTAATATGGATGGAGCTTGAAGTCATTATGCTGAGTGAAATGTGTCAATCACAAAAGGACAAATGTTGTATGACCCTACTTATATAAAAAGATAAGAACAGGCAAATCTATAGAGACCAAAGTTTCTTAATGATTTCCAGGGGCAGGAGGGTGAAAGGGAGGGGTTATTGCTTATAAGTACAGAGTTTTGGTTTATGATGATAGAAAAATCGCATTGATTATGGGTAGGGGTTGCACAGCTGGTTAATGTAGTTGCTGTCAATAAGTTGTACACCTGTAAAACGTTGAATAGGCAAAAATTGTTACAACAATGATAACAAATAAAAAAAGAGTAGCTGCTGAGGCTTATTATGTACAACTAGACACCTCATGGGATTTGGTTCCTTGGTTTGGAGGTTTAGGGTCATGGTTTCATGGGCCATCTCAGTTAATTGGCCTAATACCACGTTTAGTGCTTTTGTTCTACCTCTTAGTTCATTGCGTGGTGCCTGGGGTCTTAAAAGCTTGCAAGCAGCCACCAAAGGCACAGCAAATGGTCTCTATTTGCCTGGAGCAACAGAGGAAGAAAGAGTAGGAATAGGAGGAGGAAATGGAGTATGTGGCTAATTGCCTCTAAGAATAACTACCCCCTTTGCCATGAGACCAGAAAAACTGGATGTTGCCCAGCTACCACTACTGAACAGTTTGATTAAAGATTCTGTAGAAGAATTCTGATCAAAGTGGGGGAATGCAGAACAGAACTTCAAATTCTCATGGAATCCAGATTTTCTGGAGACATGGAGTCTGGATGAACCCCTGAAACTGTTACCCTGAGATAATCTTTAAACCTTAAACCAAAAATATGCCCTGAAGTCTTTGAACCAAACAATAGTTTAGCTTAACTAGAAAAAATGTCTACATTGAGCGTTGCACTCTTTTAAGATCTATTTATATGGGATCAAGTTGACAACAGCAACTTGAAAGATTAAGATAGGAAACTTAGGGGGTAGTGAATTTATGTTAATGAGGAGGAACAACTCAGAAAAGAAGGGTGAGAGCGGTTGCACAACTTGAATTTTATCAATGTCACAGAATTGTACATGTAGAAATTGTTGAATTGGTCTATGTTCTGCTTTGTATATTCTCAACAACAAAAATAAATTGGAAGAAAAGTTTATAACTGATGGTCAGTATTTCGTTTTGCATCACAGCAGAAGCACAAGTTCAGGTTGTCCTGAATTTTCGGGTCTCTTTTGTAAGAAGAAATAGTTTTCTCTTTGTTTTTAGGTGCTGTTAAGTCTGTTCCTGCTCATTGCAACCGTATGTACAACAGAACAAAACACTGTCTGATCCTGTGCCATCCTTAACAATTGTTGCTATGTTTGAGCCCGTTGTTGCAGCCACTGTGTCAATCCATCTTGTTAAGGGTCTTCCTCTTTTTCACGACCCTCTACTTTACGAAGCATGATGTCCTTCTCCAGGGACCAAATATGTGAGACGAAGTCTCGCCCTCCTTGCTTCTAATGAACATTCTGGCTGTACTTCTTCCAAGACAGATTTGTTCCTTCTTCTGGTAGTCCATGGTATATTCAGTATTCTTTGCCAACACCATAATTCAAAGGCATCAATTCTTCTTCTGTCTTCTTTAATCATTGTCTATCTTTCATATGCATATGAGGTGATTGAAAATACCATGGCTTGGGTCAGTCTCACTTTAGTCCTGAAAGTGACATCTTTGCTTTTTAACATTTTAAACAGGTCTTTTGCAGCAGATTTGCCCAGTGCAACATGTCTTTTGATTTCTTGACTGCTGCTTCCGTGGGTGTTGATTGTGGATCCAAGTAAAATGAAATCTTTGACAACTTCAATCTTTTCTCCACTCATGATGATGTTGCTTACTGGTCCAGTTGTGAGGATTTTTGTTTTCTTTATATTGAGGTGTAATCCGTACTGAAGGCTGTAGTCTTTGATCTTCATCAGTAAGTGCTTCAAGTCCTCTTCGCTTCAGCAAGCAAGGTCGTGTCATCTGCGCAAGTTGTTAATGAGTCTTCCCCTGATCCTGATGCCATGTTCTTCTTCGTACAGTTCAGGTTCTTGGATTATTTGTTCAGCATACAGACTGGATAAGTATGGTGAAAGGATAGAACCCTGACACACACCTTTCCTGATTTTAAACCATGCAGTATCCCCTTATTCTGTTTGAATGACTGCCTCTTGGTCTATGTACCAGTTTTGCATGGGCACATGGGCCCATGTGGAACCTGTTTTCTCTTTGTTCTCAGCAAATACACGTGCGGTGATACTTTGACACTGTGCAAATATCCTGTTTCCTAATAACCTTTCACCTGTGTTTTAAGCATGCATTGATGATCCTTGCCTGAATCAGTTATTTCTCTGGGGTTTGCAAAATTTCTAATTCTATATCTTTACATTAATTAGCTGCCATTTCTCAGTAGAGGTGAACTTTATCTTATCAACTGAGAGGAGCTACAATTCTCTGAAAAT